CTCGGCGAAAGATGAGTGAACAGCTACTGAAAGTTCCAGCATCATGATCATAGAGTAGCTTCACTTTCAAAAACACCGAAAAAACATCGGGGGAAAAAAATGTCGGGAGGTGGCATCCACCCACCCAACCCCTCCTGCCTTTAAATGGGGGTAAATGAAATCTGTGAATTGATGAGCGAACGAGTTTAAATTGACTGTAGTAGTGTACTGTTGAGCAAAAATATCGTATCAGATGTTTTGGTGTGTAGTATCGCTCTATATTTTTACGAGTTGTGCCGTATTTTGACAAGCCCGTATGGCGAGTCAAAATACAAACAACGAGTAAAAATATACAGCTATTATGGGGTGCCTAATGTATTTTTATTATTTAGAGTGGTTATTTGCATATAACCAAAACAAGTATGGTTATATGTAAATAACCACATTGCAGTTATTTTCTAAATAGCCAACATTGAAAATGGGTTATTTATAAATAACAGAAGTTGAAAATTAATAGCCAAAATTGGGCATGCAGTACCTCCAGGAACACCGGAACAAGGAACACCGGAACACCAGAATACCGGAACATCGCAACACCGGACCATCCCGGAACATCACGGAACATTCCAGAACACCCAAAAAACCCCGGAACACCACCTAAAACCAGGAACACCCCCCAAAATCCCGGAACACCTCAGAAAACCAGGAAAAGTTCAAAATCTAAAAAAAAAAATAATAAATAATAAAATAAATTAAAAATCGACAGAGGACGCGAGGTGATATGAAAATAAGAACCATGAATAGGAACGATTATATTTAAAAGATCTAAGACTTTCAATTACATTACAATTGCTCTACCTTTTGTTGGTTTCTTTAAAACTTAAAACATCAAGCACTATTGAGAGATTAAGCCACTTTAAAATCATGGGTTGATCCCAAGCTGATTATACAAAAAAGTTTCTAAACTTATTAGCGTTTAAATGGAAACGATGACAAGCAAATTAATTACAGCGTATAAGCGTTACACGAAAAGATTTGCAAGATACGTTGGAATTCATTTTTATCTTTAGATAACTTTTGTTTTTCATTTTTAAATTATCATCATGCAAAAAATATCGAAAACAAAAAAATAATAAAGCCGAAGCAGATATAAAATTGAACTTCAACAACTTTATAAACCGGTCAAACAAAGCACAGAAACATGAAAACAATAACAACAACAACAACAACAACAACTAATGACATGAATTAAATCTAACAGGCTCTCAGACCGAACTCTTTTGTAATGTAGTTTTTGTGGCACTCTGTGAGAAGCAATCCGTCGGGAATGACCAGCGAACAAGACACAAATGACGGCTCAGCTGCTTGAATGCACGCAACCTGAAGATGATAAAATGCATTCGATTCCCGAGCGGGCGTGCATAACACGGCTGTATTTGAAAAACTACGCATGCACACATCTAAAATTTGCTGTCAATCTGATTGGATTGTATAAGTATTTACAGTATGTTGTGTGCTTTGTTCACTGGATTTGGTGTTTATTCCACATTTAATCCGCATTTCAAATATATGAAATTAAATATCGTCACAAACATTTATTCGTCGCTTACGGGCATATTACGAACCAGCAAAATGACCAGCTCCTAGTTGGCTTCCCAGCTCAGTAGGTAGAGCACTGTACCGGTGTCGCAGGGGTTGCAGCATCGCAGATGATGCTATTGTATTGGCTCGATGAGAAGAATTGTAGAGATGGCAGACACAACCCTGAGTGCCTTCTCAGTTTCATGAAATTGTCAGATAATACGTCTGTTAATTAATCTAAATGTTTACTACTATCTTTTTTATTGTACATTTCACAGTGTTAACGCGTTTTAAAGCAAAATGGGTGTTCCATTTTTGTAATCTTTTGAGAACAGCTGGAAGGTGACTGAATTTCTTATATTTAACAATTATTCGCGCGCTGAAGGCGAGGTAAACATTGGTGAATATTCACCAATGTTCACCGTGCCTGAGGCGAATAATTGTTTTAATTAATATAATTTTCAGTGGTGAAACACAGAATAACGAATAAAAGAGACTGTTCGTTTTTATACACGCATGCAGCCGCTAATCTCGAATTCTCGCTAATCCTGCGTTAGCATAATCGGGCTTTGAACAACCCGGCTGAGGCCTCGAAAATATTATATTCACATCCTGGAGCGGTGAATATAGCGTCATATGAGGAATCGCTCGACCAATCAGATTGCTGGAAACTCTTTGTTCAGCTCTGAAATTACAGTATACTAATAATGAGTATCTTACATTTTAACGCTTCAAAGCAAAAGGAAAATATATCTATATTCTGCTTATACTTGGAATTAGTTCCTGCAAGAGAGGATAGACTGCGGCAAGCCGGTAAAAAAATTGTGACTGTGTGGCGCTTGTAAATGTTTTCGAGATTGTGAAGGTGAAATCAAATCATTTTATGTGCAATCAGTGGATGTAGTTTAGAAAAGCTCACTCGTACGTCATGTAGTTAAGGACGGTGCCTACTAATTGCAAAGGTTTTTGCGCCAGGTTAAGACCACGAGGAAAAAGTAGATCTTTACAAGGGTTATTGGAGTCCACAAAGAAAAATGGGGGTAGCCACGCATTTTTTCGAGATAATTAGTCTTGAATCTCAACAAAAATGCTGACATCTGCCTTTTTCTGAAAAAAGAAGGAAAGGATACTTCTTCACAGATTTCCATAGAATTCGCCTTTACACACAGAAAAGCAAACACATTTAAAAAGGTCTTTAAACTACATGGCAAATGGTAACAAAAAAAAATTGATATGTTTTTAATAACAAAATCGTTGCAAAAGCGCTTTTAGCGTATCTGGCAGCCTTCCGCTGGTTCAGCTAAAACACAGTCTGAATACCTTTTGTTTACAACCAAAAACTAATCACGTGTTGAATAGACTTGCCACTTCCATTTCATAACATAAAATTTAGTGGTAACCACGCGTTTTTTAAAAGTTATTGATCTTTTTTTGAACACTTTTACGGTGCCCGTTACATTTTTTCCTGTCACCTCCCCAGTAAGTAAGACATTTGCGTATCTCGCACTTGTTTTGCGTGCGCATTACACCACCTGAAGGTACATGTTTACAGCTGGATTTCAGTATAATTTTCGACAGATAACAGTTAGGTTTTTAGTTGGAAGACGTAAACAGTTAGTGGTTAGCGATATGCTGTTACTCTGTTGTTCCTGGTTTAAGTACAGGTTCATTAAACTTGATTTGGTCACAGCAGAAAAATTTTGCTTTCATTTTAGGGGTGTACGGGATAGCGTAGTTGATTGCGTCAATGTCAGCCCCAGCGCGCGCGTGGAGCTAAACCATGGCTTGCGTGATG